CATCGTGCACTGCCGGGCGCTGCCCACCTCGGAGGCTGGCACCCACACTCCACGATGCACTTTGTGGGTAAACACAGCTGCCACCCACTACGCGGCACAGGAGGGGAGAAAAAGGCAGAGCTCCACGTGGAAAGCCCCAGTGAGTCAACAGCTCCGACACGCGCCCCGACGGACCATCGGATGCAGTCCCCTCCCCGGTTCACGTTTCCACCGTCTGTACCTCAAGCTCGGTCTTGTCTTCCTGTATTACAGACGGAAATCTCTCTGTTACAGATTTAACTCGCTTTTGTTTGTTTTCTGATCTGCTTTGCCATGTTTACCAGATTTTGGCAAGGGAGGGAGAATAAGCCCATTTTAAAAGTCAACTTCCAATTCCCAGCCATAAGGGAGGCACACACTTGGATGAAAAGCGGTAATGAACTTTCTCGGGCAGATTCCTCCCAGGATCGCCTCTCACAGGATGCCACTGGTGTGGGTGCGTTTCGAGGGGACGGCGATCCAGGCCGTTCGACGCAGCCTGCGCACAGGCAGTACCTGGACCTCACGGAAGTAAAAGCAACAACACGTGACGCCTCAAGCAAACCTGACTGCCTGACTGCTCCGCTAGTTCCGCTCGAGGAGCCGTCCGAGGACCGGCCGAGCTGGGGGAGTCAGGAGGGGCTAGATCCCCTCTTCGCCTGTCGGTTCAACTGTAAGAACCCAGTGCAGCGGTTTAATTTCTCCGGAGAACGCCCATCATCGTGGTCACCAGCGTCACTCTCCCATCACAACATCCTCAGACACAGGCTCAGGGTGTGTGTGTGTGGGGTGTGTGTGTGGGGGGGAGGGCATGTGCGGTGTGCGGTGTGCACCCTCGGGGCCCGGCATGTAGTAGGTATTCATTAAATATTCATGGAAATGAACTCAACAGCATTTCGCGTCGAAGTGCCCAGCATCACTCTAATCCAGTGGTTCTCAACCTTCTGGCCCTTTAAATACAGTTCCTCATGTTGTGCCCCAACCATAAAATTATTTTCGTTGCTACTTCGTAACTGTAATGTTGCTACTGTTATGAATCGTCATGTAAATATCTGATATGCAGGATGGTCTTAGGCGACCCCTGTGAAAGGGTCGTTCGACCGCCAAAGGGGTCGCGACCCACAGGTTGAGAACCGCTGCTCTAATCACTCTAGCAACATGAGGTCCTAACCTAGCAAATCCCCCCCCCCCCCCCCCCGCGTGGACCTACTTCAGTACAAGGAACCCCGCAGATGACGGCGTGTGTTTCATTCCTTAGACGGCACAGGCTGGTGAAAGACTGAGTAAGGGGATTGAGCGCAAGATGCAGGTGGGGTCACGCAGCAAAGAGGGGGTGGGGCGTCACGGGGAAAGGCCACCTCGGGAAGGAGCAGCTGAGAGAAGCCACAGGGATGGAGGCTGGTGCCCAGGGTGACGCCCTCGTCCTTCCTACAGGACCGTGTGCTCAGTCCTGTTGCAGCGCGGCCCCACCCGACGGCTCCGCTTCCCGCAGGTCAGACTGTGGCAGCCACGCTGTGCAGGGCATTTGCTCTGTTCACGTCTGAGGAAGAAGACGTTACATCCGCCACAACGTCACCGCACAGAAATAAAGATGAAGACGAGGAAGTCGGGGTCAGAGGGAATGGAGATCATAAAGCGTCAGAATCCTGCACTGACGCCAGGGGGTGCCCTCGGGTCCTGGGGACAGAGCCCAGCAGGTGCTATGAGTTTGCAGATAAAAAATAAACTCGTTACGCCCGGCCGGCCTGGCTCCGTGGTTGAGCCTCGACCTATGAGCCAGGAGGTCAGGGATCCATTCCTGGTCAGGGCACAGGCCCAGGTTGCGGGCTCCTTCCCCAGTGGGGGGCGTGCAGGCAGCCGATCCATGATTCTCTCCCTCATTAATGTTTCTCTCCTTCTCCCTCTCCCTTCCTCTCTGAAATCAGTAAGAATATATTTAAAAATAAATACATAAGCTGCTATGTTCATAGCAAACAGCAGAGCCCCCGCAGCCTCCTCGGCGGCTGGAGGAGGAAGCGCCTGGACACGCCGTCCTGTCGGCGGAAACGCTGGTGAGACCCCCGGGCGGCGGCTGCCACGGCACGCGGGGTCGCACACGGTGACGAGGAGCGGGAGGGTGCGCTGGGGGCAGAGAGCCTCCCCCGGGAGGGGAAGGCAGCCCAGCCCAGAACCCACCACGAATGTTCCGAGGGAGTTCGGGCAAGTTGGACAACATGAAATGATCTCATTGCCCTAAAGAGGAATGGGGGTGAGGCGGCGACCCCACAGGCCAGGGGAGCCCACGGGCCAGGAAACCAGTGTCTGGAACATTCTGTATGTGCACAGTCTCAGAAGAAGGGATGACTAAGGGCTGCGCTGAACTGAGATGGGAGGACAGCTTCCAACACCTCCCAGGGCCTCCTCCGGGAGAACACAAGCCCAGGTCAGGCTGCGCGGCCGGGGACAGGCCACTGGCCGTCGCCGCTCTGGCTCCGTGCGCCCTTGGCCAGCTCCCTGAGCAGTGCGAACGCTGAGCACACACGGGGTCCGCGCAACCGCGGGCGGGCTGGGCCTCTCCGCTCCCCTCGGGGCCTGGCTCCCCACCAGCGCTTCCCCTGCTCGGCCCCGCGTGCGAGCACAGCCCAGGCCGGGAGGGTCCCCCCTTCCCAGCCAGCGGGCCCTCCCCGGTGAGGCTTCACCCGGAGGGGTGTCTCTGCACATGCGAGTCACACTGACCCACTGGAGCGAGAGCTGGAGACCAGCCTGCCCTCCCGGAGCCTCTCCCCAGCAGCCTCGGCGGCTCAGCGTTCTCCCAGCCCACTCCCTGGGGAAGGAACACTGAGGATCTGTTCCACTCACATTTACAGATAAGACAACAGCACGAGAAGGCCGAGTGCAGAGGCGATGGGGCGTCTTGAGGTGCTCGCCCGGGAGCCGCGTGTCAGCCTCCCAATTCCTCGAGGGACGCAGGCGAGGCATATCCACGGGCGGCTTCGGGCAGAGCGGGCACAGGCACCCCGGGACCTGCCCTGCCCTGGCCCCGCCGGGGCTGCCACGTCCCTTTGCCAGGGTCACTGTTCCTGGCCGCCCCTCCCACAAAGGCCCATGTGTGCCGACGGCCAAGGCAGTGTCAGTCTCCTGACCGTCGTGGCTGGGTGGCGAGCATCCTCCTGCGCCCAGACC